TGCTGTAACATGGTCACCAAAGTCTTTGGCTTCAATAGTACGCACCCCTCCAGTCGCATATGAAGGAGGTTTGTACATCTTAGCCCTTTGACAAATATCACAGAACGGATTCTTCGGCTGATGCGACATCATATGATGCAGCGACTTGGCTTCAGCTTTCAGGACTTCTATACCCCGTTTTCTCTTCTTCCCATCGCCCTCGGAATCCCCATCTGGGGCGACAGCTGCTCCGTCAGAAGTGCGAGCTGCACCCGGATCATCCTTAGGCATATCTTCCAGATCAGAACCTTCCTCCTCAAGGATACGACCGAGGTAATCCATATCATCTTCGTCATCATGACCACTTCCTTTCGAGGTAGATGGAGGATCAGGTTCTTTGGGTGGTTCAACTTTCTTTTCTTTTTCAGGCTTACCCTTAGTCTTGACCTTGGGCTTCGCACGTAACTCGACCCCTTTCTCAACTGGAGGTGTTCCGGCAACAAGGTCATACAAGGAAGTTTCCTCATCACCGGGTTCGATCAAAGACGGAGCTGAGACCTTAGATGGCACGTTAAAACCATACTCTTTGAGTCTCGCAAGCTGCGTAGCGTCAAGCTTGTGCACAGCACGATTCACATACGATGTGATGCTCCATCTGTCACCCTTCCAGGGACGGACGCAGTGGTACGTCTTGGGATCAAACGTAAGCATACGATGCTTGGACTTGTGAACTTTGCCTTTCAGCTTACTGCCGTCAGGCATGCGAACAGAAGCATAGTCTTTGTTCTCCCTGCTGATTTCTTCATCATGAATCCAAAGCTCGCCTCCCTCGAAGTCACCCAAACACATAGTGTTGTTCTTATGTTCACGATGGTTGTGAGCATCTTTATGCACCTTGACGCTGGACCCGTGATTGATGCACAGTGAAGAGCTGGGGCCTTTAGCACCATGATGTTTCAGATACTCATTAAGGAACTTCATCAGCTCCTTGTTTTGGTGACTGCGGTTAGTGATGCCTTGCATCCCGCCATGCGAGAAGGCTCCAAGCACAACATACTCGGACTTCTTCTTAGAGGACTTTGGATCCTTGGCGATGATAGACCTCTGCTTCTTAGAGGCCTGGAAAGCTACCTTGTTTAACAAGGAGTAACATGATGCATGTGAGAAGTCGCCAGACTCTCGAAGCTTCTTTGCGATAGCCTCGGATGACTCTTCCGGCGCTGGCCTTCCGGCCGCGGAGGGGCTTTCAATGATCTGCGTCTTACTAGGACCGGACGAGGCCCGACGCGCAGGGACGCTGATGTTTTCATGCCAGGACTTCAAGTACGGCACATTATCTTTAACGTCCATGTAGACCTTCTTCCCTTCGGGAGTCTTAAGGTACGGTCGTGAATTAGCCCTCCAGATGAAATCGAATCCCTCTTCCATGCATCGTTGTCCTATTGAAAGGACAGACGGGGTGTCAGGAAGAACATATGGCTTGACCTCAATCCCAATGGAGTCAACAGAAACATCACACTGTTCTGAAGCGGAGTTTGGCCCATTTGCAGTCATCATTTGAATGGGCGCAGGTGACTCGTAAGCCTTCGCCTGCCCAAGCTCCCGCTGGGCGATGAGATCTTGTGCACTGCCAGTATCAGCAATCCATTCAATGCACAAACACGGCGATTTGCTGCTGGCGGGTGCGGCACAGTTGAACTTCAAACCATTCGGAATGCAATGTTTGCTTCCAAACTCAGTGTTGCACTTGAACTTGCACTGCGGTCTACAGCCCTTGACCTCATCACTGACAACAGCTTGCAACATCTTAGCGGTTACCTGAGCTTCCTTCACGGAATCAGGATCGGCTTTCCAATGGCTGTTGGCGGGATATACTTGGCTATACTCCCTTGGCTTATTGCGATCATCGAGGGGGTAGAGGCCATTACCTTTTGGAATCTGGTATGTGAAACTTTCAGTAGTGTCATTGAATGACACTGCGGCCAGTGCGACATGATAGTGCGGGGTGCAAACGTCGGCATTGCTCAACATATCCTTCCGGAATGTGAATGCATCGGCTTGGGCTGCTGAGCCAGCCAACATTGCTCCCAATAAGCAAACTGCAGCGGGAACGGAGGGCGCACCACCCTTACGACCTGAGCCACGCGAACCCTTCGAGCCTTGGCTAGACTTACTTGATTTTCGGCTGCCGCTCTTTGAAGAGCTCTTGGAGCTAGATCTGGAGCCTTTGCGGCCCTTACCACTTTTCTTCTCTTTCTTCTTGTGCTTCTTTTCCTTCTTCTCGCTGCTGCTCGCTCGTGCACCTGAGCTGCCCGGGGCGGCTGCGGCAGGTTGGCCGTTGCGGAGGAAGTTACACTTATCTCCACGATTGCAAACCCCTTGCTTGAAGAATTTGCATTCCTGCTTTTTGCCTTTACCTTTCCCTCCCGGGCTAGGGGTCCTAGTAGGCGTACGACCTCCGGCAGGAGTGTGAGAACGCCCCCTAGGCTGTTGGTGCTTGTACGGGCAATTGTCTCTCTTGCAACTTCCGGTCTTGACCCAATCAACGCAATACCCTTTGGGAATACGCTTGGGGGCCGGTGCGGCAGCAGGCGTAGTAGGTACACCTGTTTGCCGAGCAATGCGCTCGCGGTTCTTCTGCAATCGCTTGCGTTTCAGATGATTAGCAACCGCGTTATACAGGAACTGATAGGACCTTTGCTCGCTACCTTCCAGTGCGCGTTCATAGACCTGGATGTCGTGATCGATTTCCTTGCACTTCTTCACCTGTCTATGGAACAGGGGTTCAAGCACGCTGTTGTCTGGAGGATTGGGAATCCCAGAGAGCACCGTATCCCAGTTTCTAATGAAGGTGGTGAGGTTTTCGTTGACCATGATGCAATTCATCAGGTCCTCCATGTCATACACCGAGCCATGGAGTGCATTGGTAGCAAAGTGGTTGTGAAGACGACACAACAACTGTCTTCCTCTCACCAGCCTTCCGGCGTGAGCTTCGGTTTCCTTGAAGGTATCAGTCTGTCTAGCGAAATCACCCTCAAGGATATTGGTGAGCCCAGAAAGGATCTTGGCATCCAAGGTGCTAAACCCCTCCGGGTCGCGAAGCTCCTTCTCGTCGGCGTCCTTCTCCCAGACCTTACTGAGCCAGGCGTGCGCCTTGTCAGGCGAATCCGATGCGGCGACAATGGCTTCGCGGACCCTAATGCGCCAGTTTCGGTACTGCTCAGGCTGGGGAAACTTGGGAAACACGACTTTCTCAGCCTCTTTGACCTTGGGTTTGGTACTCGAGGAACCCTTCTCTTCATCATCATCCTCTTTGTCAGACTTCTTAGATTTCACCATCTTCTTAAGCATCTTGAGAAGGATCTTGTTGTCGATGGAAGAAGACGATGAATCTGACGAATCATCTTTCTTGTGCTTTTTGGATTTCTTGCTCTTTTTCTCCTTCTTACCGCTCTTTTCAGGCACTTCATGTGGTTCGCCAGGAGGAGTATGGATCGGAAAGGGTCCTAGACCAGGAGGCCCGGCCTGTTCCGGTTCATTGCCCAATGGGTCAGCTTTGGCTTCCGCCAAGCGTGTTCTTAGCTCGGCATTGTCCTTTTGCAGCATCTCCATGTTGAGGGCTTGAATCCTCATCATCTCTTGCATCTCACCTTTAAGGCGAGAGAGCTCGTTGTCACGAGCTGACACGTCGGCTTGATTAGCCTGCAGCCTGCGATTAGCCTCGGTTTCCACCTGGGCGACAACATTCGCTGCTGTCTGTTCAGCGGATAAGAGGCGCTGCCTTAGCTGCTCAGCTTCAGCAGCAGCTGCTTCAGCCTCAATCTGGTATTGGGCTACGGCCTGCCGACCAGCATGGAGGTTTTGATTAGCCTGTTCTTCGAAGGCTCTGGCTTTTGATTGCAACTGTGCATGCTCAAGCCTCAGCTGAGCGACTTGACTCATGGCACCTGTTTCCAAAGCAAGCATCTGCTCCCTGTTTTCGCTTTGGATGTGACGAACGGCTTCAGCATGTCTGGCATTTGCTGTGTCCATTATCAGTGCCGGATCCGCACTGATCAGAACGTTTTGCTGATGCTGATACAACTGATTCACAACAGTTGGGACGGAGGTGTGCGTTGGAGGCGCCGGAGAATAGCCTACGACTGTGGGTGAGGGCTGATGTGTCAGCGACGCTCGTGATGGTACATATGCTGGTTGAGGTCCGAGGGACCCAACATGTGAACGAAGCGTCTGCTCAGTGAGAGCTACCCGACCCTCCCGGGCGGTGACAACCGGAAGCTCTGCGCCCAGATTCGATCTCGAGCGGGCGGACTCCGTGTCGTCATCACCTAGTTCGGAGATAGGCACACCTGCAGGATTTGTTGGAGCTGTGGTGTCCATTGCACTACGAAGAGCTATACAAGCTACGGCTGATAACCTATTGTTAACAGCAGGACGCACGAATCCTTTTTCATACTTGAGCCACGAGGTAGCGTAGGTAAGACATGATGACTAGCATACAAAGAGAATAAAAACATTGTTCGACCCACAACACATAGTGAAGGGATGGGGACGACCAGGCGCGGCGCCAAGCGAACCCAGCCAACGTAACTGCAGGTCGTCCAAGTCGTGGTATGAATTGACGTAAAAGGAAGACGCAGGAAAAAGATGGCATCGTGTGGCATATTCCAGCCAGAACTGGTAAGAACACACCATGTCCGCCTGATCAACCAAGCCCTTTGAAAACCTCGAGCCCCTCCTGGATCTTACTGCCTGCTGCCGGCACCTAAAAAGAAACCAATGAGTCGACAACCAAAGAAGACGAAAGTCCCAGCAAGAAGATCCCGGGCTGCTGGAATCTCTCTCCCTGCCCTAACTCCAAAACCGCAGAAAGCCCTGAACCCTAAGCCCCTTTTTGCCTTTCACCCGACACTTTTTTTGCATCCAGCCTGCAAAGCCTCTGCTGGGTTTTCACCCGAAACTAAACCCCCAAACTCCGAAAGCCCTGAAGTCTAGCAAAGGCCCCCGAAGATCCAAGCCGCCGGAAAGGGCTGGTGGAGACCCGTCGTCCCGAACTCCAGGCCCCTAGCCTTCGGAGCCTGGCGCGGTAGAGGGGCTGCTAGTAAATCGGCCTTAAGGAGCAGAAAAGAGTTTAGGGTTTTTGGGCAAATTATCGGCCTTAAGAGGTAGAATATGGTCTTGGGTTTAGGGCTTAGGGCTTAGGGCTGCTAGCTGCTCGAATTTGGGCCTTAATAAGCAGAGTATGGTTGAGGGTTTAAGGTTTCGGGCGGGTAGCTGTTAGTATATGGGCCGTAACAAGCAGAATAGGGTTCCACAAGCGTTCCCTCAAAAGGCAGAGGCTTGACGATTAGGATTAGGCTTTGGGCTTTGGGGTATTAAAACTTCAGATTTTCAGGCTTTACGATTGAAGTCAAAGCCTCTGTCTTTTTCTCCGAGAGGAGCGCAAAAACCCCCTAACCCCCCCGGAGGGCTATGCTGTCCTAACCTACACCAGCGCCGTGGCCTCACAGTCGCTCGCACTCTCTCTCTCTCTCTCTCTCTCTCTCTCTCTCTCTCTCTCTCTCTCTCTCTCTCTCTCTTAAATGACACGAGCCCAATGATGCACCTTAATGTCATGATGCATTTACGAATGCTACGATGCCGAATGGCATTGGCTCAAGACTGGATCAAGGCTTGATGCTACGAAGGAATGTCTGCATCTGCGTGACTGGGGAAAGTGATTGATCTTGGTGTCCTAGGATTGATTTGTACTGTTGAATTTTTCACACACACACACACACACACACACACTCTCTCTCTCTCTCTCTCCCTCTCTTCTTCTCCCAGGAATAGAGGTTTAGGGTTCTCTCTCTCTCTCTCTCTCTCTCTGTCTTGGACTTCTCGCTGGGATGTAGGATTGGTTTGACTGCTGATCGTACTTTTCGCGGTGGTATCTTGTTGTACTGTAGAGTCATTATAACCTAAAACAACCAGCGTCGACCCCTGTAGCTAACCACTAAGACAAGGCAGTAAGATGTTCAGGAACCCTTCGGTTGAAACTAACAGTGAAACCTAACTTCGAAGGAACACCCCCGTCCTCTCCGGCAGAACTGCACCACAGGGACACCCAGGGATAGTGGGCTCGTGGCCAGACGTAGCCCAGAAGAAGCTTTTGTTCGGCCGTATAGGAGGTGACCCAGCCTCGGCTGCAACCCTGCCCGGACCCCTTTACCAGGGTACTAGAGAGCATGGGGAACCTATAACCCATGTAATAGCAAGATACTAGGAGAGCCACCACAACAAAGACCTATGTTGCCATATGTCAGTGCCATGCAATACACTAGTACTATCTTTGGATGTTTCGGAAAGGGCCTGGGCCGATTTGGCTTCACTCGGACCAGACGAGTCTGGGCTAGTGGCTATACAGGTTTACGGGTTTAGGGGTTTTGGGGCTTTGGGGCTCAGGTGCAACGGCTCTTTTTAAGTCAAAAGACTTAAGCTTAAAGTTACCAAAAAAATCTTATTCACTTTGAACCAACTGCCGTAAACCCCTGGATAAGCGCCTTGTTAAAGAACTTGAGGCCCTTACAAGAAGTTCCTGCCTGAAAAAGACCCAGCAGCCGTGGGAGCAGGAAGGATCCACCTGCAGGTTTCTGAATGGGCTTGGAGACTCCACTTGCTCAGATTTCGGAATTTGGGTTTGGCGCTTCCATGCGTTGGGTCTTGAAAAAGGGGAAGGGTTTAGGGTTTAGGGTTTTAGGGCTTGGGGTATAAGGGGTTTGGGGCTTGGGCCGCTCATTTTGAGAATCTCTGACCTCATAGCTGAACACGTCATCCGGTCCCCCAGTCATCTGCCTGGCATCTCTGGTGCTGCTCCTCGGTCTCTGTTACGAAGGACAGACAAAGAACCTCAAAAAACAGTACTCGTAACAGAGTGTAATACTTTAGGCCTCTGTAGTACATAGAGTCCCGAGAGCCCAACAAGCCGAAACCTCTTGTAAGGCCGTACAAACGTTTATGAAACTCGATGAATGCCATGGAATAGGGTTTCTAAGATTGGCCAAGACTCGCCCGAGCTTCCGGAAACTTCATCGGTGTCGCCCAGGACAGCGCTGATACCGCTTCCTGAAGTTCAGTAATTAATTCAAGTAATTAAAGCTATCATAATCGGGATCTATAGTCTATACTCATTTAAAAAGGTTTCCCTACTATGGTAATGGTAACTGAAAGTAAGTCCTGCATGGAAACCGAGCTTCGCGTGCACACTGCGTGAAGCCACGGAGGCCATTGCAATCCACCCGAGTCTCTCCTGAGAACTGGACTGGGGTCGCAGGCATACGGCAGGAAGGACCGGTTTAGGGGCCGAGGGTTTGGAGCCCATTATACTATGCTTGAATTAAGGAACCCCCAAAATAGTATAGTATAGGTGATTATAAGGCCCCTATATTGCGGCTGCGAGTTTAAAATTCAGCTTAAGGTCTAAGTTTCGAGTAGGAGCCCGATGATATGACATCTTCCCTGGAACACCAAAGATCTAAGAAGGGACCTTTTCAGCCGCGTGGCGCGTCAAGAAGGGAGGCGCAATGCTCGGATGTTGCACCATGTTGTACCTTTATCACTGGCTTTCGGACCAAAGAATGGTACCCTAAATTTTCTACGGGGCCCAAGTCTAGGCAAACCACACCATGTGATTTTGGCTGAGGCCAACATGCAGCGCTGATGCATACCCTTTCCTAAGTCCTAAACCCTGATACAGCCTATGGAAAAACCCGAGGCGAACCTTCGGAACCAAACTCTAAAGCATCGAAGGTGCATGCGACCCAGCTTCGCATCGTTCTGGACCTCATCCTCAAAGACAGCCACTGCTGCCTGCGCTGGGTCTGGTATAGGGTAAAAGGTCCTATCTGGTGATCCACAAGGGAATCCATGGTTCCCCTCAGGGCTTTTCATCCCTCATCCCCTCAGCCCTGTGTTGCCCAAACCCCTTTGATACCGTTTCAAAACCGGAAAAAGGCCCCATCTTAGCCCTAAGGCCTTACCCTAAACCCCTAAACCTCTCTTAAACCGCTTAAAGACCTTTAAAAGGCCCCTTCAGGGCCCATTCGCCTTGTCGGCAAGTGCACCCGTCACTTCGAGGAGCCGCGCGCGCCGCTTTGCAGAGAGGCCGGCGAGAGGCAGCTTGGCCGAGAGGCCTCAGAGCGGGGGGTTAGGGGTTTAGGGTTTGGGTTTGGGGGTTCAGGGTTTAGGGCTTTGGGTTTGGAGCTTAGGGTTTAGGGTTTAGGGCGCCGACGGTTTCAGGGTTTAGGGTTTGGGGTCTCAAGGGGAACAAAACGGCCTTAACAACTCGACTACAGTCGGGTTTTCGGGTAGGTTGCAATACAGTCATGTACGTAGTGTAAGGGGATACTATTGCTAACTGCTCAAATCCTACATATAAGCTCTGTAGTTCAAAAAGGGATGAAGGCTGCAAAGACCCTGCCCCCTGAATCCTATGCTCTGAACTCCCGCCAAGCCCTTATAAGCCTCCTGAACCCTTATGGAAACCGGGAAGCTCTGAAAGTTAAGATCGAGACAGCGAGGCCGTGTCTGCTCTCGGCGAATACGCTTGCTAACTATTCCAACCCCCGCTGTATCATGGAATAGAAAACCAGAGAAGGCCCCTGTTGTCCGACCAGACATGCCCGAATCGACAGGAAAAATGTCGGACGGAGGACGAAGGACCTGAGTCGAAAAACCAAAGACCGCCCTAAGGTTTGAGCTCCCCGACAAAAGCCCAGCATAAGCCTTGTCAGCTGTAGCCCCAAACTGAAGTTCTGATAGAATAGTCCTACATTCCACTATCACATAGTCCCGTACAGTGCCCCCGTGCCATTGCTTCCAGTTCGCCCCAACCCTCCAAGCCCAAGTCCAATCATTCACGCCCATTCCACCCTGTGAAACCCTGTAAAGAATTGAGAACTCATCAAAAGCCCTCTTATAAACCTCACGCAGCACTATTGAAAGCCAATGTAACCCATTTAAGCTTACGGAATCTGGCCCACATCCCGAACCGGTAGGATCTAGACAGTAGATCCCTTCACAGGGCTCCCATAGAGTACCCTTCAGGAGTTAGGGTCCCGAACTGGGGGATCTACTGTTGGATCCTCGCGGGTCTGGATTAGACCCCAATCCTCGGATCGAGGCACGAAGGCCCTCACCATCCGGCCCCTCCGGCTGCACATCCCAGCCTCAAGTTCTTTGATTTTTTGGCCTTGGGGTTGTAGGGTTTAGGGTTTAGGGTGTGGGGTTGAGGGTCTGTTTTCACCGGACCTTTTGCTGAGATTTAGGGTTTTGGGGTCAGTCAAGAAGAAGGGTCTTATCGGCATTTTGTGGGATATTGCAGTGCCTCGGTGACAACTGTAAGCTACCATTACAAAGGCATTTGTGAAAAAAACTACCATGACCAAGCTATGGGTTCGGCAACCGCAAATCGGAGCTAGGTTTAAGGGGTTTGTGATCCATATTTAAATTTATAGACGTATGACATGTACAAGTTAAGGCATCAGGGATGTTCAGGCACAGGGGGGGGTTCGGGTCTAGGGCTCCGAAACTGCACAGCTCGTGTTCTGGGTGTCTTAGGGGAGCAAAATCCGAAAACCTCCATATTTACCCTTCAACCCTAAACCCCAAACCCTAAACCCATAAACCTTTAACCCCAAACCCTACAAACCCGAAACCCAAAACTTGCTAGGGACCGGTGAGCAGCGGGCTGTTGAGGCTTCGCCGTGGTAGGGCATGCCGTTGGCAAGCTCGGTTTCGGAGGGCGGGCCCCATCGATCCAGACCTGCAGCGGCAGGGGTTGCGTTTAGGGTTTAGGGGTTTTTGCCTCCTACTTCGCAAGGACGAGCACGCATGGCAGGGTTTGCAAAGGTCAGAACAGGAACTCAAGACTCAGATGCGTTGACCATCAAGGATTTAGGAGTTTAGGGTTGAGGGTTTTGCCAAGCTTCATACCGTCCGGGGGTGTTCTATACGGGTCCACGACGGGGGCCTGGAAACTATACTGGAAAAACCCATAGACTGAAGATGAGGTGGCGTTTGACCCCGGCAGTTTTAGGCCGGCTCAGGGGTCGGGTTGAACTCTTCGCTGCTTTAGCAGTTTAGGGTTTAGGGTTAACTCTTCGCTGCTTTAGCGCGCCAACCAAGGAATGACTTTGACATGCACATCAAATTGCCAGCGAAACCCATTCTCCCAAAAGCTCATGGCAGGAAATGCCAACATCAAAAGCCTAAATGCCTCAAACCATGAATGGTAGATTCAGGCAGCCAAGGGGTCCCGATAAGAATTCTAAATTACCCTGATAAACACCATTTCTTTCCCTTTACAGCCCCACTCACTGCCCATAAACTTCTCCAGATTCCCCATTAATGGAGTACAGGCAAGCCATTGAAACCCTGTCGTAGACACTAAACCCTGAACCAAAGACCCCTAAACCCCCAAACCCCTAAACCAACCCTCTCTCTCTCTCTCTCTAAAACCTGATTTTACCTCAACCCTAAACCCCAAACCCTTTAAAAGGGGGAACCCCTAAACCCCTGAACCCTAAACCCCCTTAAGACTCAGCCAAAAAGCACAGGAAGTGACCCAGGGGCCGCGGAGCAGAATCTGAAGGATCCTGTCTCGGAGGGGCTTTTAGGGCTTTAGGGGTTTGGGGATCTATATATAGGGGTTTAGTGGCTTAGGGTTTAAGGGCTTCAGGGTTTAAGGGTTCAGGGGTTTAGTGGTTTCGGTCTAAGGGTTTCGGGGTTTCGGAGTGGCTTAGGGGTTAGGGCTTGGGGCTTAGGCGGCTAGCTTTCGGATCGGGGGCCTTTTGCACCCAGCCTTAACTCTGCGGACCTGTCGACATCTGGAGGGTAGCTTGAAAAGTTTGAGCGTAAGCACGAAGCCCAGTTGTCACAAATGTCCGTACCTAGGACACTCACCCAAAGTAGACACGAACAGGATGGCGTTGTAAGTGCAGTCCCGAAGAAGAAGCCGAATCCTCTCTCTTGTCAGCCGAAGATCCCGAACAACAACAGGCTACCTGAACCCTCCTGTAACCTCTCAAACCCAAAACTTGTGAACTTGACGTGTTTAACAGTCCAGACCCCTACTGTAAACTCATGCCCCCGAAACCGTCGAAATCCTGGACCCAGAAACCCCAAACTCTCAAACCCCCAAGCCCTCGTATAACAAACACGTGTGTGGCAATCCCTGCTTGTGGTGACCACAGTAATCGTCTCTGCATGATTAAGTCTTTAAACTACTAGTCTATTGTCATAACATCTCCCCGTCTAGTCCATGGCTCAGGCGCCCCCGGGCTTGGAGGTTTAGCCGTGCGTAAGGCTTTCGGATTTAGGATGTGGAGCCTTGACCCCATCGCGAAAACCAAGAGTTAACAAAGAGTCCATAATCTTGCACATGGCCGCAAGTAACTTAAGGAGTGTTGGCCAAATCATGATCAGGAGCCTCATCAACCCTAAACCCACGGAACGTTAGGTTCGAGGGGAAGTTGGTCCTCTCGACCCGTAGGTTTAGGGAGAAAGTTGTCAATACTACGAGTGGGTTTAGGGTTTAGGGTTGGGACTACTCACCGTTTCTGATTCTGCTCTGGGGCTTTCTTGGTGACTCAGGAGGCAGCTGCAACTCAGCATTGCTGACGATAAGGTTAGTCAAAGCATCAGGTACTCATGACCCACCAAGCTTCGCGAAACCGGTATGGAACCGCAGCCCCCCCAACACGTGTGTAAGGAGGCTCCGCTCCAGCTACCCCAGACACGAAAGCCCTAAGCCCCAAGAGCTTGAAAAAGCCTTGGGCGAAGTCGGACCCTTCCCGAATCCAGGGCCCTGAGCTCTCAACCACTAAGCCAGTGCTCCCGAAGCCCTCTTTAACCCCGTATTGCAGCGTGCGTCCGGGGGCATTTTCCATTTTGGTCTTCCTGCCCTACACCTCTCAAAGAGAACATGCATTTGCAAACTCAAACAGAGCTGCGGAAGTTAGCCAACGGCCTGACCGTTTCAGTGCCACCTGGCAATGCTCGAATTGCAGCACTCGTCTTTGGCTGCCATCCGGACGCAGGACATGCTTCGCAGGCCTGCACCTCCTACTGGCAAAACTGAACCCCAACCCAGATGCTCCTCGAAGCCAGAAGTAGGTTCTTGAATTCCGCGATACGACCCCACACCTGAAACCCCAATCACTGCCAAAACATGCTAACACCCATCGGCCAAAAAAGGAAACTGACACCAGTGTAGCTTCCTATGAGCTTCAGCGAATCGACTCTAGTTGTGGATACCTCACGGCTTCGGCATCCCAGGTTTGGGAATCCGCAGTATCATGCACGTCTGTACAGTCGAAGTCGCTGCTGAAGGACCCTATGCTCCCGACCGAGGGAAAAAATGCGACCCTATCCAAACAGATACTGACCGCAGAGCCCTCAACCCACCCTAAACCCTTTTTGCATCAGGACTTGTGCAATCGCCTCAAACCCTAAACCCCCTAAGCCCTAAGCCCTAAACCCGAGACCCTAACTAACCCCTAAACCCCAAAGCCGCTAAATCCTAAGCCCTAAACCATAAACCCTAACCCCCTAAACCCCGAAGCCCCTGAACCCCTAAAAACACCAAGGCCGGCAAAATGCTGACGGACCTCGAGTAGTTGCACTTGGGGAAAGCCCATGACATGGACCTAAACTTTGCTCCGTTAACGGATCTATATAAAGGCACTAGAAAATAGGGTTTGGGGTTTGGGGGGTTAAAGGTTTAGGAATCTAGGAAGTTTAGGAAGCTTTGTTGATTCTTGCCTAACCAATGAGATTCGTCATACTCACCGCCAAAGTCTGAGCTCTGAACCTCCAAGAAACCCCAGGCGCCAAACGAGAGACGATAAGCCAACAGGTCTTCAGCAGCTCCCCACAAAACTTACTCGACGACGCTCACGCGCCCCGTGGTCATTCCTTTGAAGCTGACATTCAAGCGCCGCAGATACTTCCGCATCCAGCGATCAAACTCGCCTCAAGCAGGGGCAGAAAGGCTCCGAGATCCTCCGCACCCTAGACTTCAGGCTTGAGGGGATAATATAGGGGCCTTAATTAGAATAGGGTTTTGTTGGGTTACAGTATATTATGACTATAGTAAGGAACCGCCAAAACTAACCCACAAGCCAAGCCAGGTGCTGCACAGGAATTCTCGACAATAGCCTGCGAAATGCGCACCACTTCGGATTCCTGGAGTATATAAGCCGGAAGCCCTCCGCTGACAGCACGTGTCGTTCATCCTCTGCAGCTGAGATTATTGAGCGTCTTCGGACTTCAACTGCCATCGACGTCAAAACCTTGTTGGAATTACTTCTGCTCAACTACGAAGCGTCTGTTCCAAGAAAGCTCGATAGCCGATGCATGGACAACTCGAGGATGCTACACCAATGTCGGACAGGGGGCCCACTGCCACAGACAACGGCTGATCGAACACGATGACCTCCTCCTGCCCAACATGTACAGCCTAAGGTTTTAGGAGTTTACGCTCTCGCAAGTCGGACGAGCCAGACGAGAGGGTTTAGGATATTAAGGTTTAGTTTAGGGTCCATGGCTGTTGAACGGCTTAGGGTCTGAAACGGGCGTAGCAGCTTTGTGTTTTGGGAATGGCACCGGAGGGACTCTAAGAGAAGGAGCCCGAAGCTGTGGAAAAAAGACCTGCGATGTGGAAGATCTGGGAGCTTGCCCACGATTTTCAAGGAGCTCTTCAATGAAGGTTCTGCGATTCTAATCTAAGCCTTGGGACGTTCTATGGCTGCTTTCCTAGGGCTCTTGCTGTTACAGCTTGCATAACTGCGGTACGTGCAGCCCAAACCCCAAACAAACACCAAAGGAGAGGCAGAAAGCAGGAAGTAGTTGGAGACAGAGGCAGGCCCCCAAAAGCCCAAAGCCCTTAGACTCCCCTAAGGCCCTCAACCCACAAACTCCTCCTTCAATCATAGGTTTACACAGGGGCATTGCTTTTCGGACCCGAATACCCAACCTTCATAAACCTCATAGAACCCGTAAAGGTTCCAGTTCCTTTAGGGGTTCCTCTGAAGGTAAAGTGCAACTCCTGGGGCTGCTCACAGTCCTTCTTCTTCTGCTGCAGCTGCTGGGGCGTCTGGGGCGCCTTGCCGAAAGAGAACCCAAACCCCAAAACACGCCAAGACCCAAAACCTAATGTAGGGGCCCTAATAATTAGAGTAGGGCTTCGGGGCCCCTTAAACTATCAGTATAATAAGGAACCCCCACAGTAGTATGGGTAGTTATTTAAGCTCTTATAGTAGAATCATCAACCCCAAACTCCACCTGAGCCATGAACCCCAAACCCCGACTCCTGCAGCAACCACCCACAAATAACAAAAAAGGTGGTTGCGAGCTTCTTGCAAGGGCGAGTTTCGAGCTCAGGGTGCGTAAGCAAACCGTAAGATTTGAGGGTCTAGGCTAAGGATCCTAAGGGGGTTTACATGGGATATCCCTATCCTAATTTTTGCTTGTGCTTTTTTGGGGCCCTAATGATGAGCGTTTCGGATCAGGGTCGGGTCTCCCAGGTCTGGGCGTTCGGCACTCCTCATCGTAGCCCCGGGGGTGGGTAGTACGATTTGCTCGCTGCGGCCCCAAAAGACAGGTGAGGGTCCTTTTGGGCTGTGGGCTTTTCGCGTATGGGTTTTTTGACTCACGCATATCCTGCAAGTCTGCGAAGGTGAAGCCCCAAACCTCGATGCATGCAAATCCTTGAGGGTGCGGTACGAATGGCGAATGGCAGTCGCAATCAATGGTAGTGTTGCTCTTGCTCCACCATCTACCAGTTCCGTTGCAGAAGCTGTACCCCAATCGTGTTTTCGGGGCTGAGAGTCCAGAGTTTAAGGCTAGGGGTTCTGGATGTACTATATTGAACTTAGAACCCTAGCAAAAATTGTAATTTTAGCTGTCTCTTAGGGATTAAAATAACCAAAAATTAGAAAATATTTCTAAGTACCCCTAAGTGTAGAGTTGAGGGCTTAGCAGTAGCAGCTTAGCATTGAGGATGTCGGTGGTCTATGAGAGTTTCCGAACATTCGGGGTACCTTATCTTGGGATCCTTATAATCAAGATCCTACTATTTCCACTTGGAGGGTTCAGGGCTAAGGGGCTTCATGGGGCTTCTATGACCCGGTCGGTACACGGTGCCGCCTTCTTCTTGGGCTTCTCCTGTCGCGAAGAACAACCCCACTGGCGGGGACAGTCTGGGAATTGTACTATTACTATACAACATTTACAGCACTATTGTATTATTCTTGTTGTATTCTTATAGTATAAGATGTGAGCCCTATCCCCTCAACTTTGCACCCTGACTAGACCCCGGTACCCAAAGCGCTAAGCCCCATGCAGGGCATTATGCCTTGAGCTTTCAGACATGTCATCGAATGCAACCCTTCCAAAGCTGACCCAGAACTCCTCGCATACCCCCGCCTTTACCATGCCGACCAAGCTCTTAATAGATGCATGAATTAACTAGACCTCAGTCAAGGACCGACCTTGTGACCCCAAGCTGCCCACCTTTACCGCTCCAGACACCCTCAAGTGCGCAGAAAGAAGAAGGTGCATCACAGACACACGATACTTCATTCTGTCACCTTAA